TGTTATCTTTGTAGAAGATAAACTACAAAGAAAATAAGACGATGATAGCTCTGAAAAGTCAGAGACTACTCAGATACATGCGGAAAAAGAGTTTGAATAAGGAGATTCTTCTGAAGCAGAACCAGCACATGATGAACAAGAACCAGAGAGTTCTGAAGCTCCAACAACTCGTCAATCAGATCGTGTGAGAAGACGTCCCAATTGGCACTCAGATTATGTTATAGAAGGTAATATTGCATACTGCCTTTTAACAGAGGACGGTGAGCCATCAACATACCAGGAGGCAATAAACAGCTCAGACGCTTCACTGTGGATGATGGCGATGCAAGAAGAAATCGAAGCCCTTCATAAAAATAATACATGGGACCTTGTGCCACTACCACAAGGAAGGAAGCCAATTGGTAACAAATGGGTTTTCAAAATCAAGCGAAATGGTGACGATCAAGTAGAGAGGTATCGTGCAAGACTGGTGGTCAAAGGATATGCTCAGAAAGAAGGTATTGATTTCAATGAAATTTTTTCTCCTGTGGTTCGACTAACAACAGTTCGAGTAGTCTTGGCAATCTGTGCTACATTGAATTTACATCTGGAACAGCTAGATGTTAAAACAGCTTTTCTTCATGGAAATCTTGAAGAAGAGATTTATATGCTCCATCCTGAAGGTTTTGAAGAAGACGAAAAGAAGAACTTGGTTTGCAGGTTGAACAAATCTCTGTACAGTCTAAAGCAGACGCCGATGTGTTGGTATAAGAGATTTGATTCCTTCATTATGTGCCTTGGATACAACAGACTTAATGCAGACCCTTGTGTTTATTTCAAGAGGTCTGGTGATAATGATTTTGTTATATTGTTGTTGTATGTGGATGACATGTTGGTTGTAGGACCCAACAAAGATCATATTGAAGAATTGAAGGCACAACTGGCTAGGGAATTTGAAATGAAGGACTTGGGATCAGCAAAAAAGATTCCACATGCAAATTCACCGAGACAGAAGTAATAGGAATATTTGGCTTTCACAAAAGAATTACTTGAAGAAGATCTTGTCACGATTCAACATGCAAGATTGTAAGCCAATTTCTACCCCTCTTCCTATTAACTTCAAATTATCCTCCAGTATGAGTCCTAGCAGTGAAGAAGAGAGGATGGAGATGTCTCGAGTACCGTATGCATCAGCAGTGGGAAGTTTAATGTTCGCTATGATATGCACAATACCAGACATTGCACAAGCAGTGGGAGTGGTTAGTCGGTACATGGCGAATCCAGGAAAAGAGCATTGGAATACAGTAAAGAGGATCCTGAGATACATCAAAGGGACCTCAAATGTTGCATTATGTTATGGAGGATCAAACTTACTAATCAATGGGTATGTAGATTCTGACTATGCAGAGGATTTGGATAAAAGCAAATCTACTACAGGATATGTGTTCAAAGTTGCTGGTGGAGCTGTAAGTTGGGTTTCAAAATTGCAGTCAGTTGTGGCTACATCCACAACAGAGGCAGAATATGTAGCAGCTACACAAGCCAGTAAAGAAGCAATTTGGTTGAAGATGCTATTGGAGGAGCTTGGGCACAATCAAGAGTATGTCTCTCTGTTTTGTGACAGTCAAAGCGCCTTGCATCTAGCAAGGAATCCAGCATTTCATTCAATGACTAAGCACATACGAGTTCAGTACCATTTTATTCGTGAAAAGGTGGAAGAAGGAACGGTAGATATACAGAAGATCCATACCAAAGACAACATAGCAGATTTCATGACGAAGGCGATCAATGCTGATAAATTTACCTGGTGTCGATCCTCTTGTGGCCTGTCAGAGACGTAAGCAACATGATGGTACAAGGTAGAAAGAATGGTGTGAAGATATGATTGTTCCAATCAAATCTTCAAGTGAGAGATTGTTGAAATGTCAAAGCTTGGAAAATTGGTTCAAGTTAGGCACCTAATATTGCAATGTCAAAATTAGGTGCAATAATGTTTGAAAATTAAATGGGTAAATTATAAACTTTAGGGTATTTATAAGATTAGTCCTTAAGTTTCAACTATAAATACCCTAGCTCATTTAGCTTCAAAACCATCCTAAAGCATTCTAGCTTTCTTCCAATACTAGAGAGATTTTAGAGAGTTTCTTGAGAGTTGTTTTCTCCTTTTTATCTAGAGAGAATTATCATTGTTTTCTCCTTGGTAGATCGAGAGAGGTTGTAATTCCTATTTTCTCATAGTGAAATTCTTCTACCGTTGCCCGTGGTTTTTACCCTATTTTTTTAGGGGTTTTCCACGTAAATTTTGTGTCTCTTTTATCTTCATTTTTATTTTCTCAAATTATCAGTTGCGATTTTGCTCTATCCGATAGCCGTCTTCCGCAACAACACCCATATATATATAGTTGGATAGTGTTCTTCTGGAACAGATTATCTGGGGTATTAAATTGTTTGTATGCTGTGTGTGTTTTTATATAATAAAGGAGAAAACGTACATCAAACATATTATTTTGATTGAAAATTCATAACAAATCTACTTTGACACATTTCATATTGCTCCTTAAATTAAGTTTTAATCTTTCTTTCTCTCCAAGTTGTGAGTTCAATACTTATGAAGAACAAAATTCTTGTTCTTTTCCTGCAAGTAGAAAATATTCCAAAAAAAAATACAATTCAAAACTATCAATTAAACACGAGCAGCTTACCTCTTGCCAAATTTGCTCCATTACATAATTTAAGATTTGAGTCCAATGATACCATCATGACTAGCTCCTACTAAACTGTCAGCACCCATGTATTGATTGAGTCCCCCATATCAGAGCTTTATCTCCCATATCTGCAGTAGAAATTTACGAGTTACTTCAACCATCGCATTCACCTGTAATATTCTAGATCTATCATTTAATGCTCTATATGCATCTACGTGATCTGTTTCCACCATAAACTTCCTGATTCCTAAGTTACACGTATGTTTAAGTACATTGTGTAGAACCTACACCTCAGACTACGAGTTAATCTATAAATTTATTATCTATGCTCGTTTTGATTATATCATCTCATTCGGTTGTTTCATTCTCAAATCAAACGGTATCATCAGTGTTCATTTGAAAATATATATAATGACTTTTTAAAACCGTTGAGTCTATTTTTTTTAGAAATAGCTTTTAGCTTTAAAAATATGAAAATGGGATAATTAAGCCATAAAAATTACCAGGATATCTTAATTTCTCAAACTAATAAAAAAAATGTCAATGTTCAAATTTTAAATCGATTCTTTTAAAAAAAATTATTGACCAAAATATGAGAAAAAGAAAGTTGAATGATGATAACAAGAGATTCTTTGAACAAGAGAAAGGAACATATTTGATAAGGAAAAACACCATTTAGCTGATAAGCAAAGAGTGAAACTGAGAATATTGAACAGTCCAAAAGTAAGGAAGAACAAGTTTCCAGAGCTGTTGCTGGTAAGGAAAAAAATCAGCAGCCTCGATGGTGAATGATGAAGATTTCTAAGCTGTGTTTGTTTATTTATTTACTTTTTTATTTGCCATCTCTTTTAATGATCTTGATCTATTTTGTAACACTTTCTTTCATAGGTATCCATACTTATTTGGCAGTAAATCCTCTCAGATAAGTATAATATCTCTTGATAGGTCCAACTATTTAAGAATTTCCATATTCATCGAGTCAACTATAGTATGTATGTATATATATATATATATATATAAATACCTCAAGAAAATAACGTAAATCATATTTCATGTCAAAAATGGTAGCAACCAAGTTAATGACAAATCGTTTGACGCTTGTTTTTCTGGTGTTTGCCTCTCTTCTAGCTTTCCATGAATGTACGTATTTATTTTCCTTCTATTTTTTCGATAATCCATATTTATCGAAGTGACTACACTATATATTGAAAACCTAAATAAAAAATAACATTAATCATAGTTGATATTCAACAATGGTAGCAACCAAGTTAATGGGCTTTCGTTTGAGTATTCTTCTTCTGGTGTTTGCCTCTCTTCTTGCTTTCCATGAATGTATGTGTATGTATATATACATGGATAATAATTCACCCTTTTGATCTGCATATATTTGATCTTCTCGTTTGAACAGGTAGCAACGGCGGCGGTAGTAGCGGCAACGTGCTCGATCGGAGAGTGACGATAGGCAGGAAAATAACATTATCGCCATGCAGTCGTGGCCCTTTTCACCTTAGTTGGTGCTGCATAACAGTCAATCCACCGGTTTGCTACGCTAAACAGGAGGACTGTTTAGCCAATTGCAATGGATTTTGATATGGCTGAGTTGTTCGGATTGAGCTTTTGTCATTTGTTTCCAATAATCACTAATGAGAAGTGGTCATGATAAATTCCATTATTTGATATCCTTTGCCACTATGCTTCAGTTATCTCGCTTCATAGAAATCATTTTTAAAAATATAATTTATTATAAATATAAAGATCACCTTAATTATAAAATATTCTATAATTAATAAACTCCGAAATTAAATAGATGAAACCAGATTCACCCCTCCAAAGTTTGATTTATTTCCTTGATAGAAAAAGTTAAATATTGACACAGAATTTTTTTATTTTTATACTATATTATATATAAGAGTAAATTACAACAATGGTCACTATTATTTTTGTTCTATCTCAATTTGATAATTGAAATTAAAAAAATATGTTTTATTCACTTATATATCTATTTATTATTTTTTGGTCACTAATTCTTGTTAATTTAATCTATGAATTCATATTAATAAAAGTTACTTTCTAATTTGTCCTCTAAACTTTAGACGAAATGTTAATTTATTCTATGAATTCTCTCGATCTATCTTTTAACCCACACTGTCCTCGTTACTCTGACAACCTTCTCCAACCACCACCATCTTCCTCAGGCCACATAATTTTGCATTTAGATGGAACTTTGAGCAGTGGAATAAATAAAGACAACAATTATTACAATAGTTTCATTGACGAGCTGATTAAAAATGGTAAATCAAAGAAAATGGCATAAAGGCCAAGTCCATACGAAAGTGAGATTTACACCTTTGAATCTAATGTGAAGATATATACAAACAGTTGGGGATATAGTTCCTGTGGTAGCATACAAGATTCTACCAAAGTTAATTTTGTAGTGGTTAGAAATGAATGCCATAAGGGTCAAGAATACTCAGAAATACAAGCAAACCAGCAGGATGAGAAAATCGCTGGCAATGTCCGACCACCATATGATTCTCGGTTTTGTTTTTGTCTTCTTTTACAATGATTGAAGAAGGTGCCGTCGCTACGAGTCCGAGACAGGTTTGGTTTCGAAGAACTTGGCTACAGCATGATAAAGATTTTCCTCCTCAAAGGGCTTTGAGACATATCCATCCATCCCGCATTTCAGGCACTCGTCGTAGGTGGCGTGAATTACATCGGCTGTCATGGCTAATATCGGCAAATGCCACTCGTCCTTCCCGACAGACCCTTTCTCTGTATCTCCATTCATCTGTTCGTTTGCTTGATTCTCCATCATTCGAATTCGACGAGTTGCCTCGAACCTGAAATTATATGACAAAATAAATAATCAGAAACTACCATGATGCAGCAGTTAATCAAATGATGTTAAAGATATGGCATACATACCCGTCCATTTCAGGCATCTGAACGTCCATGAAGCAAGCATCAAAACTGTGTGGAAGTTGAAGCAATTTTAGTGCAGCTTTTCCACTTTCAGCACATTCCACGGCAGCTCCAAACTTCTTTAATGCACCTGCAGCTACTCTCCGATTTACCATATTGTCATCAACTACCAATATTTTCTTTCCACAGAGAAGACCCCCGAGGACGGAAGATCCGTTCAGCATGCCTTTCCCTGGCTGTCTCTTCCCTGTCCCAAGCACCTGCTGAAGACATGCAGCTACCATACTTGCCCTCAAAGGTTTCATAATCGTTGTATCTGCAAATCCTGCTGCCTTTGCTTTCTCGAGTTTGGCATTCGTAATATTTGTTGCAAGAAGAATCAGCTTAGGCAACTTAAACATGTGTCCATTCTGTTTCCAATCCAACATTCGTAAGCTCAAACTCCCATCCTCGCCGGAAAGCCATGAATCCTTCTCGACAAGAACTACATCGGGTTGGATTTTACTTCTGTGATGTTCAATGAAATAATTCAACAAAGTTAACATTAGAAGATGGACCATTGAGCAAATTCTAAATGGGAACTAAAACAAACCTGCATGAAGAACCGTTTTCCCAACATGCAGAAGCTGCTATCTTGACATTATTTGCAACTTCAACCAGAATACCAAGCCTCTTCAAGTGGTACCGGGTTACAGCAGCTCTAACCGGTTTCCCGTCAACTACTATTGCTTTCAATCCTCTGAAACCAGAAGGAAGATCTTCGGCATTGGCTTTTTTTGTATCACTAAGTGAAGCCTTTTTACACCTTCCGAAAACTGTGGTGAATGAGAATGTGCTTCCAACTTGTGGCCGGCTAATGAAGCTTATCTGACCACCCATTAACTCGACCAAACACTTAGTAATGCTCAAGCCTATACCAGTCCCACCGTAATTTCTAGAGGTTGAGCTATCTGCCTGCATAAAGGGCGTGAAAACCCTGTCCTGGGCAATTAAAGGGATCCCAATACCAGTATCCTCCACAGATACCATCAAAGTAACACTCTGAGAAGCTTCATCAGCAACTTTCATTTTTACGGAGGCGTCATCTTGCAATGCTTCAGCGGCAATTAAATGCTGGAAGGAATCCCAACTGTTCCGTTCATCAGCTGCTTCATAACCACTCAAGGTATTAACCTGGCGACCGCCTGATATCAATGAACCTTCATCCAACCCTCCGTTCAAACAAGTTTCAGTTTTAGCATCATCTAAAGGCTTTGGATTTTCAGGTACATGAACTTTAACAAATATATGTCCTCGTTCTGTAAACTGTCAAAATGCTCATTTTTAAGTTACAACCGACTTACTAAAAGATGTTTTACAGGCAATGATCAATTAAATAGATGCAATCTCCCTATATGAATGCCAAAATGGTTGAAGGTTGAGCAACACACTTACTTTAACAGAGTTCCCAACAAGATTCGTAATTATCTGTCTGAATCTCCCTGGATCCCCCATAACCATTTCTGGAACTTTATCAGAAACAAAGACTGCCAGCTTCAGTTCCCAAACAATCACATCGCATTTGAGTCATTTATTGACGTCAACAACACAGTGAGACAGGAAAGAATAAGGACAAAAAGAAAGCACCAAATTAGTTTGGGCATGATAAACCATAAGCCTATAGCCTATAGGAACTATCTAACATAGAGAAACATAACATATTTGAAAGATGCACTGGCTTTTCTTTAATTTTATCTAGACTTTACCTCAAGACCTTTGTTTCTTGACTTCTCAGAAAATAATGAGAGCACGTCATCTAGGATAGAACGAAGGTCGAAGGGTACAGTTTCGAGCTCCAGCTTTCCTGCTTCAATTTTTGCACGATCAAGTACCTCATTTATCAATGTTATCAGTGCCTTTCCACAGACCTGAGCAGTCTGAGCATAATCCCTTTGGGTTGAACTTAAATCCGTATCTAAGAGCAAAGCAAGCATCCCTGCAACAATTCAAAGAGTCATCAGAACCTTGCCGAGTAAAATTCATTGATGCACTTGAATGCATATTTCACAAAAAAAAATCCTTAAGGAGCAATCTCGAACATACCAAGGATGCCATTCATGGGAGTCCTAATTTCATGAGAAACTGTTGCCAAAAACTGCAAAAAGAACGCATCATAATTAGTGTTTAGCTTGGAAGTCAATGGTCAAGAATCTGTCGATAGATATATCTTGAAATAAATACCTGTGATTTGGCCACATCAGCAGCTTCTGCTCGAACCATCAGTTCTTGCATTTCGTGGAAATCATCTTCAACTTTAACAATGTGTATTGCCGCACCATATAAGATATAGCCAACCAATAAGCAGATCACAAAGAATAAGAAGGCCGTTGTCAGCGCAGTCCACGATGTGGGTGCCTTTTCATGATATCTGTTAAAAATTGCCAAATATTAGGTGCTTGCAAACACAACTGCAGCCATCCCATCAACCTAATGAATAAGTAGCCATTGATACACTTACCTACATATCATCTGATGCTTCCTGAATGGATCTCCAAAATCAAGGTTGCTTTTGTGCAACAAAGCCAAGTCACCATCTTGGTTTTGGTGACCATACATGATCAAGTGATCGGAAGAGTTAGTAATATCGTAGACGTTCACTAGAATCGCCTGATTCCCAGCAAGTTGCCCAAGTAGATTCTCCACAAGAGATTCCACATCAAAGGCTCCACCAAGGTATCTGTGTTTATTTGTACATTAGAAAATTGAAGATGCACAAACAAAAAAGTGCAGTAACTGAAGCAATTAGTCTCTTTTATCAAGCCATCACATAACTGGAAGCCTAGTTATCCAGAAAGAAATAGTAGTATTTAAAAAAAAATAAAGGTTATGAATGTCAAAATCAAATTTATAGAAAAAATATAAAAGTAAACAAGTGACGTAAATATGGTAAAGGTGCTTATGATGGCACCAATGGAAGTGCTTGCAACTGTATGTCATGGAGCACCACATTGCTGGTAATGATCGTAATGGAGCAGCATATGTTTTTCGCTGTGGTAGCAAAATGCTGTTGTCAGCACAACCATGATAGAGGTTAAAGCAATGACTACCCTACAAACATGTTGAAGTGGTAATAGGAGTCGTTTTAGTCCATTCCGGTGCCAGTAGTTGGGCTGTCAAACTCTCATAGGAGAAAAGGAGATGACAACTTCTCCATCAGCAAAAATCACATGAAGAAAAGCCTAAGCCTTTTTTATTTGAACTATGTTTTCCAGTACAACTGTAGTTTCTATATACTGCAAACTCTGATCATCATCACTCTCGGACAACATCAATATAGTATCAAACACATTCGCTAACTCTCGATAGCAAAAGCTTAAAGACGAGACCAACCATAAATAAGGTTCCAAACAAAAACTTGTATTTCCAATTAGAAAGACAAGCTGGAGGACTTACCCTGCAGTTGCTTCAATGCGCTCGTCCACAGTCGGCTTTGAAGGAAGCTTGGATTTGTACACAGGGAATGTCAACACAACACCAAGATGATGAGAACCCAGTAGCCTGAAGGGACTAGTTAGGACAGCTTTCCCAGTAGCCCTAGCCCTTAAGATGTTTTCTCGATCCTCCTGTGCATCGCAACACGGATAATATGAATCCAATCCAACACTCAAAAAATTATAAGCAGATTGTAGGTAGTAAATGGCATACCTCCCCCGACATCATGTCGAGTGATTCAATATAAGAAACTGTTTCTTGAGAGAAAATCACAGGAGCATATTCATCTCGAATAGGTGAAGGTTCCCACTTCATTGTCTTTATTGTCCAGCCATGCTGTCTCTCAAATCTCTCCCTCTCTGAATGTTTTACTCCTTCTGCATAGGCCACGCCACTAAGCAATGACCTCTCGAAAGATGTTCTGGCAGTGTACTCAGCAAAAGTTTCCTGCATTTCTTGCAAAAGGAGAAAATAGCCCAATGTGCACAATCAGAAACTCAGACAAAAGATCAACCAGAATAAAGATTCTCTACAACGAATGTATAACTTCAAATTAAATGGAAATTTTTAAACTTAAGGAACAAGAAGCAGAAACCTGATCAATAGCAGATGGATCCTTGTAGTAATGAAAAGTGGAGACAAGAATGGCCAGGGCATGAACATGGTTAACACCAACACTGAATTGATCCTGCAACATCCTTGCCCTTTGTTCACACATGCTACTCAACAACTCCTTCCTCCTCACTTTGTTGTCAGCATCCATTTTCTTGTAGATCCATGTGCTGAGAAAAGCCATCACCATTACCCAAAGCAACAGAAATTTGGGCAACCATGCCCTGTTAGCTTGAATAAATGTGTACCCTCTTTTGGTCCCCATTTGTTCATTCACTTTCACAGTCTCTGACTGGTGCTAGCTCTGCTTCAACTTAAGACACATCAGCAAAGGAACAACAAAATCAAAATCTCAACTTGTTTCTCCATGTCTTGTTATTCTTCATTTCTTTCTTTGTTAACACTCACTTCATATCTGAGCTAGAAAAAAGAGGGCCCCCAAGAAAAACATGCAAATACTGTAACTAAAGTAACTTCCTTTGAAGTACAAACAATTTCAACAAATACCTTTTTTTTCTGCAATAGAACACGATGATGAGCTAGAACACCAGGTTTATGTACAATCGTAGCATTGTTTTGCGTGATGAAAACATAATTACAAGCTTGCACAAATAAATGGACCAAAGCAATAATTTTTTTCACATCACGGCAAGAGGAAGAGAGACTCAGAACTCAAGAAAGAGAACAACTTTTCGATTCTCAGGGATAAAGCATGGCTCTCAAAAGATGTAAAACAGCTCAAATTCCAAAGATATCTCCCTCTACAAAAAAAAAGGGTTCTTTCCCCCCTTTTTTCTCTTAGAACATTTAAAAAAATGGAATTTTCACAGAGAAAAAACACCACTAATATTCTCTCCCAAGCGTAAAAATTTTATATTTTAAGACTAGAAACACAAAAGAACATTCACTGTTTTCACTTGTATATTAAAATCAAATTCTGCAGAATGACCAACAAACACTTACTCAGAGCTCTCACTGCAAAGCACAAGAAGGCAAAAATCAGAAAATAAAAATAAAACACACACGCGCACCGCACGCACACACGTGAAAGTCCTTTGGAGAAAGAAATATGATTATTTTAGAGGGAACAATTTCTACTTTATACTACGGTTCACAGAATGTAAGATTATCGGTGGGAATGTAAGATTATCAGAGAATAAGATTACTGAAATATTGTATTTTTTGTTTGGTTGACTTAATAAGAATGTAAGAATACATTGTTTGGTTAAAGGAATAAAAGATTATTGAAATGTATATTTGACCAAATTTTCCTTATTATACATTTATTTTTTTAACAAGTTGAAATATATATATATATATATTTTAAAAAATTAAAATTTATAAAATTTATATAATTTTTTTATAAAATTAAAAATATAAAAGGTTTAATGAAATGATAAAATTTTATTTTAACCCCTAAACTTCACATAAAATTTTAATTATAGATTTTTTTGTAAATCTAAAATAGTTTAAGGATAAATTTGTAATAACATTAGTAAAATTTTTATTATTCAATGACAGAAGAAATATATTTTTAAAAGAAAAAAAAATTAAAGACATTTTAGTCTAAAACGCTGGTAATCCAATAATACATAAGGAAAGGGAGGTAATGATATTCCCGATAATATACCCCAAAAAATCCACTATTGATAATCTTACATTATCGGGAATGAGATTCCCGGGCTAACCAAACGTGGGAATGTGGATTCCATTCCTATGGGAATCCCACATTCCCATGTTTGGTTGGCCGGGAATCTCATTCCCGGTAATATTTTATTACCAATAGTAGATTTTTTGGGGTATATTACCGGGAATTTCATTACCTCCCTTCCCTTAGGTATTGTAACATTACCGGCGTTTTGGACTAAAATGCCCTTAAATTATTATTATTTTAAAAAATATCATTCTTATGTCATTAAATAATAAAAATTCTATGAAGGTTAAATTACAAATTTATCCTTAAATTATTTTAGATTTACAAAAAAAATCTATAATTAAAATTTAATATGAAGTTCAGGGGTTAAATTTTTTTTTTACCCTTTCATTAAACCTTTTTTATATTTTTAATTTTGTAAAAAATATAAATATTATGAATTTAATTTTTTAAAGAAAATATATAAATATTTTACAATTTGTAATATTATACAAATATATAATAAGGATAATTTGGTCAAATATACATTCCAATAATCTTTTATTCCTTTAACCAAACACGGTAATCTTACATTTTTGCTAAACTAACCAAACACAAAATACAACATTCCTAGTAATCCTATTCCCTAGTAACCTTTTATTCTCACTGGTAATCTTACATTCTATGAATCAAATGCACCCTAAGGGGTTGTTTGTTTACTTGTTCTGTATGAATAAATTCTGAATATGACATGTTGTTTGATAATGTCTCTGAATCATTCGTAATGTACTTCTGTACTGAATCATTCAGCACGATTCAGAAACTATTTTGTTGAATCAGTCAACACTGAATCATTCAGAGGTGAGAAACAAACGCGTTGAATATTGAACGATTCAATATTCAATATTAAATGATTATATTCAAAATTAAACAAACAGCCCCTAAGTATAACTTAGTATAGTACGTTGAATCATTATTATTTTTCTTTAAAAATTTCACACACACACAAGTGAAAGACCTTTGGAGAGAGAAATATGATTATTTTAGAGGAACAATTTCTACCTATACACTAAGTATAGCTTAGTATAGTACGTTGAATCATTTCTTATTGTTCTTTAAAAATTTCTCCTTTGATCTTTGCTCCAATTTTCTAATGTTTTCAACTTTCGTCTTTGTTTTTTTTTTATGCGTTTGATTCACGGAATGTAAGATTATCTATAGGAATAAGATTACTATAAATATTATATTTTGTGTTTGGTTCGTTTAGCAGCAATGTAATATTATAGTGCTTGATTAAAAGAATAAAATATTATTGAAATGTATATTTTACCAAATTATCCTTATTATATATTTATTTTTTAACAAGTTTAATTATACTATAATATTACTATAATTAATTTATATATTTTCTTTAAAAATTAAATTCATAAAATTTATATAATTTTTTTTTACAAAATTAAAAAGATAAATAGGTTTAATGAAAGGATAAAATTTCATTTTAACCCTTGAACTTCATATAAAATTCTAATTATAGACTTTTTTTGTAAACCTAAAATAGTTTAAGGATAAATTTGTAATTTAACCTTCGTAAAAAAAATTATTCAACGACAGAAGAATGATATTTTTGAAGAAAAAAAATTAAGAGCATTTTAATCTAAAACGCCAGGAATATAATAATACCTAAGGAAATGGGATAATTACATTCTCGATAATATATCCAAAATAGTACTGTTGAGAATAACTTATTATCGGGGGGCTAAGAATGTTTGTCAACCAAACGGGATAATGACATTTTATTTCCCTTATAATGTGAGATATCCTGAACCAAACACACTCTTAAAGTAAAAATAAATTAATTTTTTTTGGACTTTGACAGATACGCTTTTGTCTTCCTCTACACAAAACCAGCATAAACCAACGCTCTCAAAACCCACACCTTTTCTGTATGTGTGTGTGTTTTTCCCCCTTAATGCTTTTTAGAAATATATATATTTATTCCATAAACTTATAATTAAATAAAAATATTAAATTAAGATTTTCTCAATTATGGGTTAAAATACAATTCTATGTTATCTTACCTTAATACTTTAAAATTTAAAAGAACTAAAATTAAAATTGACTTTGAGACGGGGTAAAAGACCTTGCAAGCTTACGTATTTAAATAAGTTATTAAATAATAACTCATATCTACTTTATTGATGAATTAATTTAAATTAAATATTATAAAATAATTTAATAAAAATAATTTAATAAAAATAATTTTTAATTCAATTTATTTCATTCATAATATTAAAATATGAATCAATGATCTTACTTAAATAATTTATTATTTTATTTCGTTAAATCAGTTGATTATTAGTGTATTAAAGAATCTTTTGATGACTATCAACAACTTATATAACAAGTAGTAAAAAGTTCTTAGCGATATCTCTCATCTTTTTTCGGTTGTGGATTCAATATCTATTAAGAGTAAATTTTTTCTTCATTTCCTCTTACACAGAAATTATTCAAAAAAGTATTTTATTACATTATGAACTTAAAATATAATAATTTATCTTATCCTGAGTTTATATTAAAATTGGTGAAGTGGAATTGATTTAGAAGAGAATATTGAAAGAATCCATCAAATAACTTTAGTAGTAAAATAAAATATTTTTCTTTTTAAATGTTTTGAGTTTAAATAATTATATTTTCATAATATACGTATTATGTCAATTAACTAATAAATTTTAAATAAATATTTTTCTTATATAACTATTTCGGAGCAATAAAAGGAATGGAAAGACCGAAAGGGTTTCATTCAACTTGTGATCTGATTTAAAAACAAAAAGTTTATTACTAAACTTTATATAACTGTATAATAACTTAAATTATTAAAGTTTATATAACTATATAATAACTTAAATTATTATATGATAACTTATATTATTGTTTATTTTGTCCTATTATGTCTCTTATTGATTTTTCTATTAAATTTTTTATTTAAAATTATTATTGATCAAATTATGAAAAATATATTTTAAAAACCTTAAATCAAGTAATTTTAAATATATATTTTATAAAATTTAATTATTTAAAACATTCAAAATAATCATGATCAAGGTTTAAAAATTACAACTTTTAAAAAGTCAATAAAAGATATATTTAATGGGACATTTGAAGTATAACAAATAATAATAATAATAATAATGTAAATATATTAAGAAATAAAATAGCAAAAACATAAATAAGTTTAGTTAAAAAATGGGGGAGAGGGGGTCCAATAATCACAGTCACATATCTTAGAGATAAGACATAGCTACGAGCCAAGGATCTCATTCTTTTTTTTTTCTTTTCTTATTCACACCAAAAGATGGCAATTGCTCTGAATTTTTTTTTTATAATATTCAAATTTAGATTCATATAATTTCATTTATTATTTATATTAAATTAAATTATAATAATAATCATTTGAATATAATTTAAATAAAATTATTTACCAAGTATTTTTAATTTAATAAATTCAAATAAATAATATACAAAATTGACACATGATCTTTTACTTTTAATAATTTAATCTTAATTATTTAAAACATTACTTTAGTTTTTGTTAGTTGTATCTAAAACCCATGTTCAAAAGAATTAAACATGTATATATATGCTAAGCTGGCTTTGATTTCACATGTAATAAACATGATTTGATTTTTAATCATGATCATACTTGTGAAAAAAATATTAATTATAACTAATGCAAGGATAATTTATATTAAATGGCATTAATATTGGGGTTTGTATTAGTTTTATCGCTAAACTTTAAAACACTTTAATTTTAACACTACTAATTGTGATTTTAATGTAAGTATTGTAATTGTTAACGGTAATGACGTGATTGTCTTCTTTACTATGAACTTTAGTTTTTGAATCAAATTTATCACTATATTCTAAAAGGTTTTATGTGACATTAAATTTTAATTTATGTTTCATTTTGGTTCCGGTAAATACTCTAACCATCATTATCGATCAATTGTTTTTCATCATTAGTCATCATTTTGCGATAAGAGCAACACCACAATATTTGCATCTCCCTCTTATTTCTTCTCCTTTGATTGGTTTTTCATAAAATTTACTCAAAATAAAAAAATATTTAAATGATTGACGTTCTAATACTCTCATCTTT